TAGTTCTGGGCTGATTTCTCACCTTCCTCGTGATGCACCTTCCTCATTGATGCCCCACAAGGTCTTGAATGGAGCCCCAGACCGTGGGGGATTGACAGACATCTTGAACTTCCATTTTCTAATAATTTAGCCCATCCCAGTCTTGTGAAGGTCTACAATGTTATCCCTGATGTCCTTACACAGCTCTCTGGTCATTGGCCATTGTGGAGAGGTTGTAGTCTGAGGGTGTGGACAGGTGTCTTTTATACAGGTAACAAGTTCAAACAGGTGCAGTTATTACAGGCAATGAGTTGAGAACAAACCAACACGTCTGGGAGAGTCAGAATTCTTACTAGTTGGTAGGTGATCAAATACGTTTGTCATGCAATAAACTGCAAAAAAAAGAAGAATTTTAAGTCATGTGATTTTCTGCATTTGTTTTTTAGATTCCGTCACTCACAGTTGAAGAGTACCTATGATAAACATTACAGACTCCTACATGCTTTGTAAGTGGGAAAACCTGCAAAATTGGCAGTGTATCAAATACTTTTTCTCCCCGCTGTGTAATTAATTGTATATAAATAAACGTGTGTGTCCGTCCACCGGGGACATAACTTGTCTCAGCGCCTGCATATCATCTTTACACGCTCCATCACCAAGGTGATTGACAGCAAACTAATTCCGCATTATCACCCTTGGTGGATTGACAGCTCTTCCTGTGTGCGTGTGTGTTTTCTGCACACACACACACACGCACGCACGCAAGCAAGCAATGAATGTCCACAAAGGCTTTAAAATGCAATATTTATTAATTTAAATAGATTCCCAATGATTTCTCTTCCAACCACAGCCATCTTTAATTCACTTGATTCTGACTTTGAGGGGCGAAACCATTAGCTGAACACGCTATTGTTTGAACAATGCTTACTCACAACTACAATGTCCACCAGCTGTAAGATATCAAACTTTACATTTTATGACTAATGTGACGCAGCTCTACATCTCAAGAAAGCACGAATGGGCTAAACAGGGAGTGGCTTGTATGTACAGCAGTGTGCACATGAGCTGCACTTATTTGGACTCCTTTGAGTAGCCGGCTCCCTCCTGGGATTGGTGGCAAAATGAAAACAAATATCTTTCCCCCCCTGTTCTCTCAAAAACACTCGACGACAAATTGCGCTTCCCATCAAATCATCATGCAGACAGATTTCAAATCTCTTTTTCATGTTCCACTCTCAGTCTCACACTGGAAACACAGCAGCAATAATTAGAATTTAATGCCCTTTGCCGCAGAAAGAGGAAAGGCGTCACTTTCTGGCCCAGCGTCAATGTTCTCTGCTCATTTCTGCACCCTAGGAAAGAAAAGAACACCTCTTTTCTCCTTATCTAAAAAATAAGACAAAACTGAGCCATTAAAGCTGCGCCACATGCAATGTCAAATGCAACAAAGTCTCAACTGTCAGCACTCCTCACGCACATGAAGGGAATTCCCAATTACGGCTAAACAAAGTGACAGCCAACAGTAAAACCTGCCGTTTCCCGGTGGAAGCGATGAATATGCCATGAAACAAAAATCGGTGACACTAAAGATCCGGTGTAAAACAGGTTTAGACCTTCAAACGCTGACGCGTAGTGTGTCCCCAAAGCCGGTTCAAATCAGTTCAAGAACAACATGCATTACATCAGCTCTAAAAGCTTCATCACTTTGGATCAAAGCCCAACTTTCTTTTCTGCTTATAATCCTTCACTGCAGCTACCTTTGCCAAATCCTGATCTGACATAGAGGCTTGGAGATTAGGTGCCAAATACAACATAAAGACAGCTCTGAGATTCACTGGAAAAGGCCCAAAGTGTGGGTAAGACAGTGAAACACGGCACAGGAAAAAGGAAATTCAGAATACAAGTATAGCCAAAGGCAGGGTTTACACACACACACACACACACTTTACTTTACCAGAAAAAAGGAAACCTTGAGCACTGACCCAGTCCGCAACATAATTACACTACCATATTGACAGAAGATCTAGCGCTTACACAGATCCATTTGTTTGATCTGGCCAAAAAAAGTCCTTTTGCATAATGTGAAGCCATTACACAGTTTGTCTAATTACCACAGGAAGAGGAATAACCAAACGAGCAGACTGACCCAAATGCATTTTGCCTGCTTAAATAGAGCTTCACCTTAACGTAGCACTTAAGATGGAAAACCTTTCCAACTGAAAAATATGAGAATCTCATTGAGCGAGGGACTGCGGGTAAGACTGGACAAGCTGGCTACCCTCACAAAAACCCCCATGGGATTTCAAATAGCCCTGCTCCCAGGGTGGAATGATATCCATTTCATAGATGTGCATCTTAAAACCCCCCGCTCGAGTTTCGGAAAAGAGCAAGTCACAAAAAAAGATATGTATTTAACAATTGGTCAAAATAATTTGAGGCATGGTATTTTAAGTCCATCCCGTTGATGTCAATCATCGGATTGTGCAGCATATGCGTTGGGAGAGTAAACCACAGATGTTGAATTCCTCATGGACCTCAGGGATTACTTGTTGGGTATTGAGAAATGGGGATTTATGCATTAAGTAGGTACTCAAACGGACTTCCCGGCATCAAAACTAATGATCGTCAAGCGTAAAAAAAATAAATAAATAAAAAGAACACAGGGGCGGGCAGAAATGGCTGACTGAACAGGCAATGAGGCGCCCAATCAGCGGTCCAATCACTGATTATGAAAGCCTCACGCTGCTATGCCAAGATCCATCATTAACCAAATCAAATCAGGACTGGCTGAGATATTGCGTTTGTCGGTTAAATGAAAGGTCAGCAGTCGATCTCTCTGCTCAAGTCACGACGACAACACAGCAAAGACGGGGCAGCCAAAGAGGAGCGAGGAGAAAGCAAAGCCTTTGCAAAAGGGAGTACAAAATAAATCCGCTACGTAGGCTCATAAGTGGACAGTTCCACGATATCTAAGGTTCCCCTGTGAGCTCCAGCTTGACAGCCCACTCGGAGCTCAAACCCTTACAAACAGCACCGGGAGTAACTTCCTGCAACAGTCACTGTTGCCAGGCAACTTAGTTCTCCAGGACATTCGATCGGGGAAAAAGTCTGGGGCTGCGGTGAGTTCAAAGACTGCGCCGCGTCTCAGGATTGAAGGCTGCCGATGATAGAGGACGGGCGATGCGAGCGGGCGGCGAGATGAAAGGAAAGGGACGGGTGGCACGTCGGGGCCTCCCATTAGGAGCACATGAAAGCTACAAATTTGCACGTGTGGCTTCGAGACGCGCGCTCGTATCGGATTGTGTTACATCCAGTGTGGCTTTTTTGCTTACAGAGTATCTCTGTGTACACTAAATGTGTTTTTACAAGAGCAGGAGACTGTGTGGGTGTGGCAAAAGCAGGAGAGACTGTGTGCATACGTGATACAATAGTTTAATGTCCGTAAGACTTTGCCATTACATTCCAGTGCGGGGCTGATTAAAATGTTTTAAAAGCTCTAATTGCACTGCAAATCAGACTGCACGCATTAAGGTGTCTGAGTGCAAACCTCCAACTAAAGAGCCCAAGAGGGGAAACTGGTCACCTTCAAAAACAACAACATGTACTTGGCAAAGTGTGCGTTCGTCCTCGGCGAATAACCGCGGCGCCGTCTTCTATAGGACCACAGAACACTTTAAAAATAGACGTCTCTCTCAAACACTCGAGCTGCGACAAACCGGCACGTTTAACCAGACCCAGCTTGTAAGTAGTAGCAGAGTTCAGCCTCCGCGTTGCTTAGGGAACGCGTCTCGATACCTGCAGTGAGAGCCGGGCTGCGTCACGGTGCGGACGGGGACAACGTGAAATGCGATCTCAACACGCGGCAGGGAAACGCAAGCGCAGGACAGGGAGAAATAAGAAAATGGAGCGCGAGGCAGTGAGAAAGTGAGACCCCTGGTGGGAATCTGACTTTGAGCAAAGATGGGTACCGACAACTGCTATGCGAGTGGCCAACTGCTACGCTGTGGCCTCTGCTCTCCATGTCGGGGCTGAACTCCTCCGAACAACTGAAGCGAGGTCACATCGCGGGTCCCACGTAAAGTTTGTGTCTCACATCACCATGTCTCTCATCAAGGTCATTTCTTTAGCTAAGCACCCTCCTCGTCTCCAGACGCCTCTTCCCCTCCATCCATTCCTCAACTGGGCCATTACCTGAAAAGGCCATTACCTGAAATCTCCTCAGAGATGAGGCCTGACTTTAAAGTGATGCTGTCATACTGTAGTTTAGAACTTTTTGGCAGTGCTAAAGCCAGACCGATTGAGATATAACCGTTTTCAGAAGGCGAAATGCAAGGGGAGCTTTCATTTATCAAAAATGTTATTTCTCCCCCCCCCCCCAACCAAAACAGGATGCACAAATTGCTGACAACAATCGTTAAATTGGTGTCGACAGACGCACTCAGAAAATGTTCAAACACTCACTTCTAGGATTTAATTTACTGTTTGTACTGTTGACATCCATTTCCACCAATTTTAAAATTGCATTTTCACAGTTTTGCGCAGCACTAACGTCCCCTTCATGTGAATCACAGGTAGACGGCACATTAAAATTCCTGTGGAGGATCCAGGTTGTTTTGCAGACCAGAGAGGACGAACGGCATCGGGTTGTCTGCGCTGACTGCATGAATACAACCCGAAGCCAGAGGAGCCTTTTCATTTGCAGTTAACTTTTTTTTTTTGATGATTGAAGTGTGACAAAGTTGACATCTGCCTTGACAACTGAAATACTGCTTCCAAAAGGAAACAAAAAGGCCTCTTTTAAAATAATACCACAGCCACGTGAATATTTAAATATACAGCCAATAATTTGTATGCAATAATTAAAGCAGGCATTCGGTCATAAGCCTTTTGATTTCTCTATTCATTCAGGACTATTTTTCCTGATGAAATCGGGAAAAGCCTGCATGCAAAACGCATTTGGGATTGCTGCTGGTAGCAGACATTTGCCTAAACCCCAAAACACACAAAAAACAAAGACGTACCTGTTTGGCGAGGTTGACAGCGTCGGCGTGAAGTCTGTTTCTCAGGTGAGGGTCCAGTTGGAAGGCAGGCGCAATCTCCACCACCTTCAAAACAACGGCGTTTTATTTATAAAACCACTATGGATTAATGCACATGTATGAACACCTGCACATTCTGCCCCTTGAAAAGCTTTACAACTGACAAATATGTATAGCATACAAGTAACAGTTATTGGTTTAGACACCAAGGACAGAAAAGCTTTAATTCTGACGTTTGTGCTGCTTTCTACACATCAGACCTCAAAATGATCATTGAAAGGAAACTTACTGTAAAAAAAAAAAAAAAAAAAAAAAAAAAAAGGCACGGCTCAGCACTTATTATCCCACCGACCCAAACCTACAGAAAAACAAGTTCATCGGCCCCCAGAAACCGGTCTGACCCACATCACAAATGTATCCATCACTTTCATCTGATGGATGTTTCAGCTCTCCCTGTCATCAGTTAGTAGTAACAACCATAATCTGGAAAATGGTCACTGAGTGCGTTGGCCTTTCCATAGGAGAATAAGATCGATGCAGTTCACCTGCTCCGTGTGCCATTTGGAACCGGGCCGATCATTCACGGAGGCTTTATCGGGTGGGTATTTGTTGGTGAGCAATGAGTCATAAAGTAATACGGCCATGAAGCCAAAATAATTAACTTACAGCTAAACTACACCGTACATCTGCACAGTGGAGTATATATATATAGAAAACTATTGAAACGGTCTCATAGCTTTCTACTTGCTCAAAAACAAAGTACCACAGACTTAGTTAGCTTCCTACTAACAATATGTAAATACATTAATTTGCTTTCATTTCAGTTTTATAAGACGGGTTTCATGCCACTGCAAGTTAACCCATCCACAAAGAATGTATGAATCCGGTTCAATATGATCCTTGTACGATTAAACTCTCCAAGTATGCACTTCCAAGAGAAAAGCTAAAAATATCGCGCTTTACCATCCCTAATCTATTTCAACAGGCAACTATTCTCGTTTTCTGAGATTCAAAAAGATCTTAGATTAAGGGCAAAGGCAGATTAAGTCTCACAGAATCAAAGAGCAGCGGCTCTGGCATGAACAGAGCCGCTAATATGATTATCATTTATAATTTGATTAAAAAGGAAAGGAAGAAAGTGATGGAAACGCATGATTGAAACCGCTTTGAGGTGTCAATAGGTAACGAAATATTACACATGTTAAATCAACCTCCTCTGATGAAAAGCATTGTTGTATTGAGCATAAAGTGACAAAATGAAATTTCTCTCATTTGGTATTCAGACTTTTATTTTGTTATTTTGACAATCAGGTGCTGTAATAAGTAATTTCTCTTCAGTACAAGCTGGAAAAAAATGTATATATCCTCAACTAATGAATGACAATTTAATATTATATGCTATTAGGAGAAAGATTTTGTTGGTTTGGTGGAGAATTACGGCAGTTGCTGCGGTTTTGGCCAAGACTGCAAATCACCTAGCATTCGCAGTAGCTAATTGTTATTGCTGCTTAATCCTCCCCGTCCATGATGTCTACGATAGCCGGGGCCACCAGTGGCATAACAATCATTGCTATAATCAAGACAAGCGCATTTATTAATGTGTTGCTTAATCGGCTTATTTCCCTAAATATAAAAAAGGGAAATAAACCACTACAGCCTTTTGTTTTTTTCAGTAGCCTGCAGTGCTTGAGGGTGCGATTCCTTCCCATGACCTTAGTTTAATTATCCATTTCATGCTAATCTACGTATTACTGCAGCGATGCCATGAAGATAATCGGAGATAAATTCAAACAGACGGGGACTTCACCTTTTGGTGCCTCCGCTGAATGGAGCAGTCTCTCTCGTAGAGGTGGATGACATTACCGTATTTATCACCTGGAAGGGGGGAGAACAGGGAAGTAGGTGAGACAACAACAATAACAAAGGATATAAGATAATAATCAGTGGTGTTCAGGAAATGAGTGGTTGACTTTGACAAACGGGGAGGAGAAATAAACATTCACTGGCACTAAATTCCCAACCTCTGACAGCAATTTCACACATGCGACTGCTTTAAACCGACCAATGTGTGTGAGGCGGGAAAAGACACATCTTCAGACTGAGAAGACAAATGGTAGAATCCGCTATCCGAATTCTTTTTGGTAGCATTCTCGCTAGTTGGACCACAGTTAATTTCATCCGGCATCTCAGATTTTTCCCTTAAGGTCCTTTAATGTGCAGACAGTCAAACAAAAGATTGGCCAGTAGAATGTGTGACATGTGCCTTCGCTAGCATTCTTCGCTCCCCTTTTTTTGCAGCTGTAAAATTTGAATCTCCTTCTAATATGCATCATAGTTGAAATCACATATTTGAACAAAGATTGCAACCAAGAACCCATCGGACCGATCTCACACAGTGAGACCTGAAAGATCGCCTCGACCCACTGGGGCCTGCAAGGTCGAAGCAAAGGGCCAGGAGACCAAATGAGACCGTGGGAGGTTGAGAAGGGAACGAGGGAAAGGAGCCAGACAAAGAACAGAGGGAAGCTTTAAGAGGGAGGCATGATAAGAGGAAAGGCTAAATAAACCAGAACGCTTGCAATGACACGGCTTTTATCAGGTAATCCTGAAAATTCACAAAAGCCTTCACATGCCCTGAAGACAGTGATTCATCACAGCGACCACACACACACACCAAGTATAAAGTAAACTCTGACACATGCACGGACATAAACACACAATGTATACCCGATAAACATACCCATTCACAAGCCCCGTACAGGTAATGTCTAAAGTGATGATACTTTCTGTAAATGTCAGTGTTGAGTGGTAGTAGTTACATCGGCTATATTGTGAGGAAGTCCTCGGCTGGCTCATTGTCGCTTACTTCTTAAGTTTGAGGAGTTGTCTGTGCTCAATAATGAACTTGGCTCAATTGGCATGAACAAAAAGGAACGGACACACAGTTAAAAGGGAAATACAGAGAGAAAGCCGTAAACGCACTTACCGAGGATCTGTACTTCAATGTGTCTCGGCTTCTCAATAAACTTCTCAACGAACAGGGCTCCGTTCCCAAAAGCAGTCAGGGCTTCAGAGTAGGCCCGCTGGTAATTCTCCTCCAGTTCCTGACAAACAGATGAGAAAAGATAATCCATACACGTCTGACTTCGTGCCGCTATTCAAGAAGCAAGAGAGTGACAGCAAAGGATCCCTGTGGTTTTCAAAGGCCTTGAGTGCAGCAACGACTATATTTGAAGATAGTTTACGTTCTCAGAATCGGGTCAGTTAGTCATATTTCAGTGAAAGTGTATAAGTTTGCAATAATTCCACTTCTATTGCCCCATATTCCTGTCATTCACATGGGATGTTGCCGCCCCACCCTCCTTTCTTTCTTCATTCGACACAAATGTTTAGACCCCCTAAGGGAGGAAGATTCTACATGACACCACTGGCACGCTGTTTTAAGAGGTTACGAGGGAGCATGCGGGGGGGTTATGACACAATCTGTCTGATGTCCAGCGAGCCCATCCGCCCAAGTCTGAGTCACCACAATGCCTGATCAGTCACGCCTGATCAGTCACCAGTCATGCCTGACCAGTCATCCCTCATCCCTCATCCCTCATCCCTCATCCCTCATCCCTCAATGGGATACGCTCCGCGCGGCATCTTCTCAACGAGTCGACCAATCACTGGCGTGAACGTTCCCACACCTGATGGGCCCGGACGGAGGACACCGAGGAGGAGATAGTGACCAAATGTTTTTTTAATTTGTTTGATGAAGATCATATCTCCTTCAGGATGCAAATCTATGTAACTTTAGTTTAAGAAATGCTGTGTTCACAACCGCTGAATGTAATTTTTCCTAAAATCTCTTGTTAGACTGAATATAAAGATTAACAATGATCTGACAACATTGCTGGTGTGTTTGTGCTGGTGTGTCTGGCTTTATTTTTACTTATTTATATCTTCAATTTGGTTACTTCTTCGTCCCACTTTGCATAGCCATTGATAATTACAATTTACTTTTTCTTTTTTTTTTTTAAATGGCATGGTCTTTTGTTAATAAAATACAGTATAAACAAAAAAAGGAGCCGCTATTGAAGGCCTCGAAATGGAATAACTCATTAAATGCGGCCAATGTGCCGTGCATTCCAGTAAGTTATGATGATTTAGATTCAGAATTCTAGGTCTATGAGGACAGGAATGTATATTTATCGGTTTCGCATCAGAGATTCTATATCAACCGTGCAATCTTAATTCCTCTGTTCCTTTCTCCTACTGTCTGGGTTCATGATTGAAGGAGTTTGCATATTGCTCAGCTAAAACAACTACAGTAGTCACATAAGCACTTTACAGAGAAAAAATAATGGCTTCTACAACGGTTAGAGAAAAATACCACATAATGAAAAGGCCATTTGTAAAAAGAAAGCCTCTTCAAAAAATACTTTCAACGCTAAATTACAAGTGTTGCAAAAGGATTTAAACACACCAACCGAGCAAACGCTTCAAAGCGTAGATGGACCTCCATTTCTGTGAAAGACTTGAAACATTTGAGGCAGCCAGATTCCATTTGCACTCCGTCTGTCAGCTTTTGACACTGGAGCTCCGATACGTGCCGTTCTTCTATTCTCCTACTCTTCTGGAAAGCACATCACGTCAAACCCGGAGCAACATTTTTTTATTTTATTTTTTGTTGTCTGGCACTTTAATTACGCCGTGCTTATCAGTAAACCTACAGATCTCAACCGGCAATATGTTGAGGAGAGTTAAGCTTACTCTGTTAGCTCGGCATACAAATGACCCACGAGCCTTAAAAAGGAACACAAAGGCAACCTAGGCGCTGTTGCGTGGGGGTTCCAGCAGGAGAGGGAGCCCTCTTTGTAATTCACTCACAACACACCGAGGCCCCTGCGACTCCGCTGGATAACTAGAAATGTCAACCGCTAATTAATTAGATCGAGGCACAACTTGGAAAGGGTCACACTTTCAAATGGTTGGCGGCCGACGGCCAGTCGATCAGCCAGTAAGGCCCAAGTCAAAACTCTTTTCCCCCAATTGTTCCAATGAGGGGAGATCGAGCAATTTGCAGCTGTTTCACCACTGATTCCCCCTATTCTATCTGATTAGACAGCCAGTTTAACATGGTCAAGTTCCGGAGGCCGCCATGGCGGCGAGCTGCTCGGGTGGGGGCGGAAACCACGCCACACCGGCCCCAGTACACCACTGATGGGATCATAGCAAAAGCTGCCTGCGGGCCTCCGCTGAAATAAACGGAGGTGAGAAGGTGGCCCTTCCTGCCGTCCCGCAGCCCACGGCGGTCCACTTCCCCTCTAAGAGACGGTGATTAAACCAACCACCAAAGGGCATTAAGCCCCTTCTGGGGAGGATTTCTGTTTGGTTTCATTTTGCCATAAATAATTTACAATATTTTGTAATAGATAAAAGGAAAAAAAAACAAAAAAAAACTCACTAAAATTACCCTACCATCGAAACATGGTAAGTATTATTGGACCTGCTTGGCTCATTTTCCAATAACAATCAATCAGAGGTTAAGAGTTGTTTCTAACTTTCATTAGAGACTAGACATCTTACAACCAAGACCTACATACGCAAAACTATAACTAAAGAATAAGATGATGAGTTCTAAGGTCACACAACCCAAAGAGGTCGGCATCTCTGTGACGGCCCGTCACAGCGTCACGGATGGTGGTTTTCCTCCCTACCGATTTCCATTTCCCGACTGTGTTTGTTTATTGTGTGCAATGTCCCCCCCCCCCCCCCGCATGTCACAAAGATTGCTCATGTGGGATACTCGACGCACATGCAAGACTCGTTTAAAGTTTATGATCCTTCCTTTTGCGACACACGTTTGAAAAGTGGCCCCTGGACAGCTGCAACATTAAAGACATTGTTTTCTTAACGTCCTCTGAGAATGAGTAACCATCACACAGGAAATCACTCTGAAATTGCTTCCGTCACCCAGAGCGCACACATCAAAACACACAGGGTGATTCACAGTCGGATAGACAAACAAGCTCACCTCGTACTCCCGGACCACCCTCATGCCGCGGCCGCCTCCTCCGTAGGCTGCTTTGAAGATGATGGGGAAGCCGTAGGTCTTTGAGAACACCTGCGCGTCCTGCAGGCAGGAGATGGGCGCGTCGGTTCCTGGGACCACAGGTACACCTAGACAGAGGAGAGCGGGGTGAAAAGGAAACGTTTCACTCTGAAGATTCTCAATGCTGTGCTTCGTGGCATTAAACGCTTAGCACATTTATTTGGTGAAATTTGTGCGTCGTGATCGCCAGAAACTACTTTTCGTAACCGCACTTTAGACGGAATCTTCCAGCGTTTCTTGGGCAGATGGAACAAATTAAAGCCTGAAAAATATGGCTTAAAATGCACATCCCCGCCACAGATATAATTAATGCTGGGGGAGAAAAACAAAAACAAAAACCTTCAGACATCAGACAATCATCTCGTCTACGGTCTCACTGCTTATTATTATCACTCAGGCCTGCTCCGACCATTATTTGAGGCTACCGAAATACGGCAGTCATCATAGCAGCTGCGACGCCTCGCGGGCCTTCCGGGTACCTGCACTGATGGCCAGGGAACGAGCCTCCACCTTGTCGCCCATCTTGCGGACCGTTTCCGGGCTCGGCCCAATAAACCGCACTCCGGCGTCGGAGCAGGCCTGGGCAAAGTCCGACCGCTCCGAGAGGAAACCGTAGCCCGGGTGTATGGCGTCCACGTTGTTGTCCTGGAGAGCGCAGAGAAGGTCACATCCATTACATTGCTTTGTGTTGGATCTACTACATTTTTTCGGTAATCACACCAACGCGTTGATAAATATGTCAGTCGAAACACTGGCTTAGTGATTACTGCTTATAAACACATCCCACTGAAGATAATTAAACTGAGAAAGAGCAGATTCCAATATTCAACTACTTGTTTTAACACATTGTTTTTGTTTATTTATTCTCAGGTTTTGTGCAAAACTATTAGCCAGGGGAAACCAGTGAAGGGAAATGTTGCCCAGTTAAGCAACGGGAGTTCTGTTAAATACAGAGCCACCGCGGGGCGCCAGTTATCACCTGCCCGACTACTGCTGATGGAAATCACACGTCCACTAACCTGCGCTGCACCAAAAAAGGACGTACGCATCGGTTACGGCAAAAGGACACCAAGAGCTAGTGACGCACATTTCCTATTCCTACTCCATCTTTGTTGCTATTGCCTTGATCATCCTCAACTCAACGGACACCAGCGGGGAAACTGAGCAAGCACAGAATCTGAGGGTTGGGGGGGGAAGGTACAGACACAGACACACGCACGCACTCGCTGCAGAGCTTGACCGCCCAAGCCGTCTTTAGATCAGTGTGTGCCATCTGCTCTTGGATACGAGGCAGGCTATAATTATGGGCTGTCCTGTTGTCAAGGGAGCGGTTACTGGCAGGCCAGAGCAGGCATGGAGCCACACACACTAAACCCATCCAAGTGCATGCAAACAAGCAGGTACACAGAGTGACACACGGACACAAATGCAAAGAGACACGGACAGCAGATGAGGCAAGATTATACACACACACGGGAAAAGGCATGGATGGTTACTTTGGCCTTGCAGTCAAGGAGTAATAGACAAAGAGGTACACAGAGTTATAGTAAAGGAACACACAGAAACTGAAAAGTCACAGGGAAGAGAAAGAATGGTGAAGGAGGTGGAAATTGAAGGTTGTACCAAAGAACAAGAGGAAAGAGATGGTCCAAGGAACGATGGGCAAATGGAAGGAAACGAGGAAAGAGACATGGGGGGTATTCCAGAAAGGAGGTTTAACAAACTCTGAGTCTATCCCTGAACTCAGAGTTGACTCTGAGACGGGAAACTGAGTATCAGGTTCCAGAACAGCTGATCTGCGTTAGTTCAATCAACTCGGGAGTATGTTCACCTTGAGTTAAGCACGTGCATGACGATTATAAAAAGCCATCATCAATGGAGCCCCGATAGCACTGGTCACCATGACAACAGTAAATAAAAGAGCAAGCTGCCATCGAGTTGGAGGTCCTTCTGCAGGCCTACGGTGAGTATGAGCATGTATTTCGCTACAAATGCAATACAGCTGCAGCAGCGAAGGAGAGAGAGACTGCGTGGGGAAAGATTGCTGCCCGAGTCAACGCGCAAGTTTGAATGTACTGTTCCATTGACATAACATTTAACTGCAAAATCGTCGCACCCTATAGTTATGAATACAAGTAGGAATGAAATCTGATTTTCATTTAGGTGCAATCCAACAGGGGAAAAAAGGACCTGGAAGCAGCTAAAAATGAAATATAAAAACATAATTCAAAAAGGTATGGCATATATTGCTAGGCTATGATTGCACCTCACTTTAATTTAAATTCATTTTTTTTAATTGACTTAGGCTATTAAACGTAATAAAAAGTAAATATTAATTCAGTGGTTACTTGAAATAGTAAATTAAACCCCTAATAAAATGTTTTTACAGGTCTGTTCACTTAATACCCCACTTAGGTATAAAATAGTGTCTCTCAAAGTCATTTAAAAAGGAGACGCTGTAGCCTACACCAACAAGCATTAAAATACTAATTAAAAAAACAAAGAAACATTGAGTTTTGCTCAGCAAACAGAAAGAAGGCAGAGGCCGTAAAAACAGGTGGAGGGCGACCTCCACCACCTCTGACAGTGGCTGAGGAGCTGGCCCTCAGCCTAAACAGTGGTCTCCCGGTGGCTGAAGGTATCCCTGGGGGAAGCTCTTCCGAACCGGTCACCCCCCCAGGACACAAGTGACTACATCAGATGAAAGTATACACTTCTTTTAAGTAATAGGAAGTGTGTGTCCCATCTATGCATCCTATCACATTTGGAAGCCCTGCAAAATGACAGCCAATTAAGCTTCTGAGGTCGCAGCAGAATGTACATCATAATTTAAAAAAATATAATATATGATTTCTATGATTTCTGGCCTTTCTGTGCGGAGTCTGCATGTTCTCCCTGTGTCTGTGTGGGTTCTCTCTGGGTACTCTGGCTTCCTCCCACAGTCCAAAGACATGCTCTGGGGATCAGGTTAATTGGGGACTCTAAATTGCCCGTAGATGTGTAAATGGTTGTGTGTCTGTGTTAGCCCTGCGATTGGCTGGGGACCTGTCCAGGATGTACCCTGTCTGAACCCTGCCCGAAGTTGGCTGGGATGGACTCCAACCCCCCCGCGACCCTGTGTGCAGGATAAGCGGTTTGACAATGGATGGATATGATTTCTACATCAGTCACCTGCAATCCTGTGGAATTCCTCTTTGATGGTTCTAAGAGGTTTGTGTCCGGGGAACACCACCATCACGGGTAACACGCGTTTCAGTGAGAGGGTAACTTTCCTCACAGCTCTACAAACTGTTGCCTTGCCAAAGTGCGCTGCATCCCTGATGTTGTAAAGAAAACTACCATTTGCAAAAAAACGTAGCGCGATGCAAAAGATTTGCTTTGATGCGAGTGCACGTCCGCGGTGTGTGAGGTTGGTAATATACGGCCGAAATTCCTCTGGAAATGGTAAAACGTCTAATCTGAGTCGGAAGACTCTCGCGACGTAAAGCATTTCGAATCACTAAGGCTTCGATGTCATTTGGATGTGGTAGGAATGAGCAATCCATGTCTACCAGCTTTCTTCACGTGGGAGGAGACGGTAGAAACTCCGGGTTTCTTATAGTAAACCTGCCAGCGAGCAGGTTATGTTCACAGAGTCTGTTATCATGGTGATTGACTCAGCGTTTCAGTTACCTCTATCTGGAACGGATAACTCAGTTTCCCTGATCTCAGGGTTAACTTACTGAGTTTTCACATAACCCGCTTTCTGGAATAACCTCAAACACTGCTGGGGGGTGAGTGTTGGTAAACAGACGTAGGATAAACAGAATGAACCAAAAAGTCACTTGTCCGTGTACTTTGATGCCACTGAAATACATCAGTGACGCCTAACTTCAGGGCGGCAGAATTATGAATACGGTGTATTTTAACAGTTTTATAGATAGGATGTGATAATGGAGCTTTAGAGGTATTGTTAAGAGACGTTTACCCCTATCTAGGTTCAACTTTACAAAGAACTTGGAAAACCTTGTATTTATATTGTATCTACAGGAAACACTTCTTAACCCTTCACCAGCCGTTACCTTGGCTACTTGGATGATGTTAGGAATGTCCAGGTATGCCGCAACAGGTGGTAGACCCTTTCCAATTAGGTAGGCCTCGTCTGCCTTCTGCCTGTGAACACAAGGGCGAAAGGGTTTTATTTCAGTTTGGGAAGGTCAGGGTCGGGGTGGAGGGGGGGAGCAAAAGCAAATAAAAACACACAGATGTGCACCAATCTCTCAAGCACAGAACTATTATGTCTTCACGGCGGGCATATCCAAGCCCAGCAGAGAGTGGGCACAGGTACTTAGGCAAATGAAGCCTGGTTTAATTACCTAAATAAGTCCTCTTATTGCCAGTCTTCAGGCGTGTTGCAAAGGGAGAAGGGAGTCTAGGCAGGACCAGGTGGTGCACACATTTAACAAGCCGTACTAGTCGATGAAAGGCATTTTAAAACCTTAAAGAGGAGGAACCAGGGTGGCAGAGAGAACGCTGCCCGGCAGATTAGGACATTGAGCATGTAAACAGAGCCGAGCGATTACCTGAACCTCAATACAATTATACTTATGTCCCTACTTAATACCGAACCCAAAACACAGAGTCGGCCCATGGCGCTGAAAAAGAGAAACACTGCCCGAGACCCCTTTTAATTGCGATTGACTCCAATCAACTGGTCAATATCCTGCCTCGGCAGAACAGGAATTTACCGGGACATCTGTCGGCTACGCTTCCTTTACTTAAACCTGTGCGGACCCATTTGGCACCAACATAGCGGAGCTTAGCACCTGTGCATTTGTCCGGTGTCTTGCTCGGAGTAGACGGCCACCGTTCGGATCCCCAGTTCGGTGCAGGCTCTAAACACGCGGATGGCGATTTCCCCTGGAAGAAGAGAGGAGGGTGGTTAGCTTACTAACTTGCTTTGCTTCATTTTGCCAAAATTTTCCTCCCCTTCCTGCCTGAATGGTTCTTTCGCTTGTATTCTCTAAATGTTTAAATGTTTTTTCCAAAGCACACAGTTATCATGATTTATCAACATCCTATGGCATTGGCCCCATTTCTCAACACTTTCACGGAGTAAAATAATACATTTTGATTTTCTGTAAAACATAGATGAAATGAAAACAAGGCCAATCCTTCTGGTGGGCTTCATCACACTGTGCAAAATATGAACAGGCACTGCAATGAGTCTGCCGTTTCGTTTAAAGTTTGATAACACACCGTAAAGTCTCTGCTCGAGACAACAAAAACACAGCTTGCCTTTCATCTGGCTGTCACTGAAGCCGAATTCTGGTGTAATTTAAAAACGGCCCACATTTTGGGGAGGAAACAACAAAAGCTTATCCGTCTCTGAAAACTGGTAAGATGCATCTCATGAAAGGGAGGACAGCATTCAAACATTTGAGAAGCGTTGGAAACAAAGCGTGCAAGAAATAATTCTTAATAAAGGACAGCAGTAGGGACACTAGAAGGATGGAACACGAGGACACACAGGAAAGGATGGGGACAGATGAAATTTGAAGGTTTAAAAAAAAAAAAAATTGAGTTACAAAATAGACAAACAGCTCAGCTGTTCAAGACAAACAAGTAATGAAGAGATAAGAAAAGGTGGAGGAAGGAGTCGGGGGGGCGAAGTCAGGAACCACAAACCACAGCAAATAGGAGCCAGCTTAAAAAAGACAAAGGGAGGGAGGAGGCAAGGGGAGCTCAGAGGATATCAGTGGAAAGGGCAGAGAAGCCATGGCAAGCGAGGAGATGTGCTTGCTGAAGTGGAATCTGTGCTGATATGATGAGACGGTCCAGTCTCTCTTTTCATCCGTCTCTTGGTCCAGTGCACTGCGGTTTGATGAACGTAATCTAATGTGGTGTGGATTTCACGTCACACTGATGTGACGGAGGGAGATTGACGTGAAGTCATGCTGTGTGCAGCGAGTGCGTGTGTAAACTTGTGGTGGAAACCACAATCTGTTTGAATCTTGTTGAACATCTGATTATAGCGTTCATTGTGAGGGTAGACATGAATGTATGCATGTGTACATGCGTATTCAAAAAAACAGACTTGTGTGCAGCAGGAGCCCTTTGAAGGACCACATGTGTTAAGAATCAGCATCAGATTGGAAAACCACTCACCAATCTATCGGAATTTGTGAAAAGCTGAACCAAATCAAGCACTTAAAATGTATTCGCAGGTATAAACATATTGGGTGGGTCTAAAAGGCAATAATAAACGGAATAAACTTGATCCATTTGTTACTCTAATCCTGCACGCCACTTTAATTGGTCTCTCGACCGAATCGGCATTAACAGGAGGTGGTCCGGTGAATAGAAGTATTACCAATCCACGTCAGTCATGCTGATGCTGGGACTGCTTAGTGTTTAAAAAGATCGTCCTTCTCTATAATTATAATTAGGGCTGCAACTAACGATTATTTTGATAATCGATTAATCGGTCGATTATTTCTTTGATTAATCGGATTTTTTTTTTTAACTGCATTAAAAAGCTTTCATTTCCAACCCTTAATTCTAAAACAGAACCTCAAATTCGTCAGAACTAGTTCTCTATACCAGTCTTTTTCAACCAGAGAGGCTGTCAGGTGTGCCGTGAAAAAAAATCATTTTTTACATACTGTCACTTCATTGGTGAACAAAAAAAAAACGAGCCAACGTGTGTTTGTGTGTGTGTCTCGTCGCGTTGTTGGTGGTATGAAGGCTCAATACTCCCCTCTGCCTGTACGCAGCGTAATTAATAGGCAGATCTGCTGAGGCGACAATTTAAAAAATACTTCTGCGTTTGCGTCGTCTCACTCGTTTCAATCATGCTTCTAAAAGTCTTACGTGTGTTGCAGAGCAATTCACCGCCAGAACAACAGGCGGGGTAACATGTTTTTGTTGAACACGACCTGGTCACTTCTATTTATTTATTTGTTTATTTATTTATCATAGACTTTATTGCCCCGTGCATCGCCACTGCTGCTTTTCATCGCGGACACATTTGTCCCGTATTTTCCTCCACAACTTTGTTCACCTCTCAACCGGCAAACCTGCGTTTGCTGCGATCTCCCTCCGTGAATCCAACCCGCCAATGACTGCTTGTATAAGCGGTCATATTTGCGCATTTCTTCTGACAAAAGTTCTTAAATCTGATCCGTTCTCTCGTAAATATTCTGTGTTTTAATAATGGTGCTATCGGGCTATGAAAGCGGAAATGTGAGACTCCGTAACTGGCGTAGTTAGCGTACCAATCACAGCCTGGTGCGCTGCAGGAGGCTTGCGTTGCTGACGCAAGCCTAGAAAAATGTCTCGACACACGCAAGGAAGTGTGAAAAGCAACGCAAGGGACACGCAAGGGGGGCTTGCGTCTGCGTCGCACTGAAAACGCAGAAGCATAAATCAGGCTTAAGAGATACCTGGGCATAAAGCCTGTGCCATCTTGGCATTAGGATGATGTGAAGTTTAATAAAACAACAAATAGAACACGTGTTTCTCTGATTTCTTAGAGTATATTATGCTCATGCTGAAACTATGTTTGGGATTGATTTTCATATCATTTCCGGTTGTTGGTGTGCCGTGAGATTTTTTCTGTGTCTTAAGTGTGCCTTGACGCAAAAACGGTTGAAAAACACTGCTCTATACTACTCAAACACACACTCATGTTCACTTGAAGCATATTCATTAAGTTATTACCATCATAGTGCAAGTTAAGTAAATGCATACAGCTAAAAAACAACCAAGTGATATGAGATGAATTTAAAATGGCATTTGTAAATAAATGCATTCGAGGCTTCTTAGTTGATTTAATGGATCACCATGTGTCTCCCTTTACAGGCATAACATCAACTACCGTATAACCCACAGTATATGCGCAAGCGCATTGTCCTACCATATATGACAGCATTAAAAAGTACAACACACACACACAAATATATTTGTCAACAATAACCGATATGGGACAAAGCACAAAATATCAGACAACACATTGAAAAATGAATGGTCCAAAAGAGACGAGTAAATAAAAACATGTCTTAGTCTTGCTAACTGCTTTACTGCGGTTATTAGCGAGCTAACGCTAGCTTGATCAGCTGGATGACTGGTAAACACGCGCGACACAACAAATCGATAATGAAATTTGTTGCCAACTCTTTTAATAATTGCAACAACGAATCGATTTTATCGATTCGTTGTTGCAGCCCTAATTAATCCTAATTAATCCTAATTAATCATATTTTCAAATAAGTCATTTATAGCAGATTAGAAAGGCACAAACAAATAGATCTGTATATTGCTTCAATTTTTTCAGTGGAGAATTAGTTACCTCTATTGGCCACCATGACTTTCTTGATTGGTCGGTACTCGTTCCGCGGGGCGGAGTGAGCGTAGCGGGGGGCGAGACACGCCCTCCTCACAGTCAGCAGGCCAAGGCCACCTCGGACTACAGTGTACCCCAACATCCTGGACAGTGAGGAAAAAAGTGAAAGGACATGTCAGATGTACACAGTCTACACAACAAACCGCAATCAATGAAGGGGAGACGCAACAGACCTTGATATATTTTACACAAACGCACACAGATGGTTAGCTTTTTATGAGAGAATGTCCGACTGTCTGTCCCAAGTGCTACAGAATACAAGGACATATGGCAAGTTAGTCCAATATGTAAAAAATCAGTCATTAAATCCAGAGGAAACAAAACTAAAGCACCCGGTCTAAAACATAGAACTCAGATTTTCTTCCAATCTCCATCTAGAAAACTGCAGCTAATTTCAGTTTCTCAGGTAAAAAAAAAAAAGATGCTCAAAGGAACATTTATAAGATGATAATGCTTTGAAAGTGATCAAACACGAGGAGTGAGCCCGTTTAGAGAGATTAAATCTACTAAAGCACCATCCCTATTAAGTTGTTGCCGTTGGTTGCGTGTTCCTTTCATGGCCTTTTTAATTGCCGTTCCTGATATTTAGGAGGAATCTTGGCTAATTGAAGTAGTCTGGAAAAGAAAAAGTATTAAAAGTAAATTGCGAGTTAGGGTTCGACAGATTTTATTTCCTTTTTGTCTTTTTACAATAACTAAAGTTGCAAATTGGTACGTCAGTTTGCTTATATAAAAAAAGGTGGAAGCACAGATGAGGATTAATATGACTGGCACTACACATTCGCATACATGGTAAAATATTACAATTGTTCTATAAAAAAAAAATTATTTAAAGTCTTTGATGGGATCAAGTAACAAATTATCAAGTCGTTAAAACAAAAAACGCATTAAGTTGTGTACAATCACGCAAATCCTGAAATAACAGCTCACAGATAACATCTTCTATATGGATTTGATTTCCCTAAAAAGGAAGGAGCCGCTTAGGGAGCCAATCAGCTGCTGCTCTGCTTACCAACCTCACAATCAGCTGCAGCTGCGTCAATCTAAAGACGCTAACTTTCTGGGATGTTTGTGGCGCGGCTTTCTTCCTCGAATCACAACAACGACAACGGAAACTATGGCAATTAGAGGGGGACATACACGCTGCATACGAATGAAAGAAACAAACTCAGTTGGGATCTTTGGCCTCCTTTGATTGCAAAGACTGCCCCCAAAAGAAAAGCGCCATCCAAGTGTCGCCTGATGAAGGCTAGAAAAACACAGAGCATCCACTGCACCAAACAACGGCGTTGTGATTGGATGGCTGCATTCTCGAACAATAATCCCCCAATACACCGTCAGATGCAAATGCTGCGACAATGTGTGAATGGCACAAAAAGGTAAATGCATACACAGAGACACCCAGGTACCATCCCAACCGGGGCTCATTCACTGCAGGGAAACAGGCTGGAGTTGTGTGATGATGAGTCTGCAGAGGTGGCGGTTTCTTCTTCTTCAATAGGCAGCGAGCCTTCACCTCACAGACAGTCCTTTGCTGCCACTCTGTGGTCAAACAGCAGCAATGCCGTCAATTGGGGACCACCAAGAACTGCAAATGTCAGATCCTAAACTGTAATAAATTAAACATTAGCCTAAAGAGCCTCTGGTAAGAACAAGTGCCGGCATCTTTCTCCACACTTTACCCTAATGTGGACCCAGACGGAAAAAGAACACTTTTGAGCCAAATCCGAGTCTACTTCCACCAAATTGGTGGTTGCAGGATTTCAGTTAAAGAGGAATCACCACATGTTCCATTGATGTACAAAGAAGCAGTGGTGTCTGCTGTACAAACTGTTCAACTAACGGTCCATGCAATGACCCAAACGATGGGATTCTGAAGCTAAGATCGTGGCTCCACTCTCATTTCATGCGTGTCTGCTTTAAATATGTTTTCCGTGCATAATGAAAGGCTTAATAACACCGAAGTAAGAAGCGATTCAGTGTAATTTGCCTTAACTAAATCAAGAAATAAAATGTTTTGAATGAAAGAAGCATCCTCTACAAACCAAGGACCAACTAATGCGCTCTTCTAGACGTTTAATGACCGTCTGAAGACTGGATGCAGTGGAAGCTCAGGCTGAAACAGTATCTGCCGTCTACACAAAAGGAACAACGTCACACCTTGAAACAGATAGTTTCCAAAGGCCTGAATAAAAAAAAGACAGACAACAGCAGCCACAACAGACAGGAAAAACCTGTCTAATACTACTCGTATCCTGCATCAAACTCACTTCTCAGATAGAGCCGAACAATAAACTTCTGATCAGAGAAGGAATCTGTTCCAAACTGGGGTAGAGTGATACGTTCTCATGTACATATCTACATAATGTGTTAGCAGGAGAGATTTCTATTTAGTTGTAACATTCTTAGACCCAATATAAGATATTTTTAAAATAACATACGATAACCTGTTGGATAGCTCTACTACAATCGAGCAGTCAAGGTGTCAAATTAAAAACAAACAATCCTTGAATCAGCGCCTTGAAACTGTGACGTTTCGCAGAAACGCATCGAATAAATAATAAATGACCCGTACAGCAATGGAACTCATCCATTACCAGCTTGTAGCCAGATAATTGTTAATTTGAGATGTGGTCTGTGATATAAAATGCTCTTATCTCCTAAAAGCTGTAAACCTACCTATCCTGAAAAAGGTTAGATTACAGTAAGAAAATGAGACAAAAACAGTAGTTGAGAGGAAGCAAAGGTCATCCTTTTCCAACACTTGTCCCTCTATATTTATCCTTTATCCCATCAACCTCTGTTCCCTCCCAGCATATCCTCTTATATGCTCCTGTCCTATCATCCCAAGACTTCTCTCGCCTTTAACGGTTTCCTTCCTTCTTTCCTTCCCTCCCTCCCTCCCTCCTTCAGCGACAGATGAAGGAAGGATTCAAGGAATGTCAGAAGTCTGGGACAGTCAAGGGCACAGTTTTGCAAAATGTAATTTTTGTGGTTCATCTCCTTTTGTGTATTTGAGGAATGCGTCAGATATACAAGTGTTCTATATTGTGATTGAGCCTGATAAATTCCACATTGCACAAAAGAACAGTTTTGCTAGATATTCCTACTAAGCCAAAAGTAACAACCATGTGATCAGTGACACAACTCAATTTGTTGTAGACTCATGGCAACAACAGTGACAGGAGGCGGAGGCAACACAACAGTATTGGTTTTGGTTGAACCCCGGTCTCGTCTGCGTTGAACCAGCAAATAAGATCAATCACAGCATCTTCTCTGGGGAAAGAAGTGAGGACCACTATGAAAACACTAAAAGTCCACTGACAGTTCAGTGCTCTCAGATTATCATCTCGGTCCACATCATTACCAAGATTAAATCAATACTACCAGAGTGAAAATGATATAAAAATCAACTTGCATTCCAAAAGGCTCCGCCTGATACAGCAGGAATTATAAAGTCATCAATAAAAGACAGTGATAAATGGTGATCACTGAATTATCAGCTGCATTACTGACCGCCACCTCAGCAACAGTAGCTTTATTATGTGGTGCCGAGATGATAAAACTCAGCCAATATCTTTTAATCCTGACATCTGATTGGAAGGATCAGTAAACAGCTTTAAACTCCGACTGATGCCAATCAACTGCTATCTTTTCAGGCACTTAGTTTAAATGTTTTCCTTTAGCAAAGAAGCTTCAGAAAACAACAGATAATCCAAGTCATCCCAAAAACTGCTTTGCCCCCACACACAGGAAATCTCCCTCAGACGGATTACATCAGGGTCAGTTCACATGCCTCACAATGTGCTACACAGGCAGCATGCATGCAGCTATGTTGTGCTGAAATTTTGGTAAGGTTGTATGAATGTTATCACGGTTCATCAATATAATCAAATAACGCTAAACATAGATATGTGAAGTAACATCTATCTGACACGAAAAAAAATAACAAAATCAAAAATATGGCACTGGGGGCGAGTTTCCCTCCCTGACCTTTTAAAAGCTCCAAGTTATCTGGGACTCAGGACTGTGACCTTTGTGTTTGAGTCTAAAAAGGATAAATAAAAGGTTGGACGAGGTCATATTCTTTTTTCCCCCCAGATACAAACATTCCATCCAAACTTCAAACGAGCGCATTCGATCAATAATTTACCTCAGCCTCACCAAAGATACCACAGAGAGGTACTAAAACATCTTTCAAAGAGTTATGTTGCTCACTCGCGCTTCCCAGGAAACACAAACAAGTCTCACCAGGGGGCAGAAGTCTGGTTCAAGTTGTTCAGAAAAAACATTTAGTTACACAAGACCTGATGTGAGAGGCCCAAAACGTCTCGTTGTTGCAAACTTTAGGTATGAACAATAAACCACCTTAAAACACACTTAATCAAACTTTGGTTTGGAGCTGGGCTGTTTTCTCAACGAGTCTCCATTTGAATCAGGTGGATGCAAACCAAAATTGTTCTCGCTGTCTCAATCCTGAACACCAACATCAGTTTCCAAGCTGCTGCAACACAAAAACAAGCACTGAACTGAATTATAGTTCGGAAGCCCAAACGGAATGGAGACGTTTTAGGCCAAATGCACTGTGACCTAAGCCCAGCCCTTCTCTTGTGTGCTCACAGGAACGGTTTCTAACGGGCCAAAACTGTTCAGATTCAGCGTTTGTCTGATAGCATGAGGTAAATCATGACACACGCATGCACTGCCGCACGCACACATCAGACACTCCAGGGTCTAAACCGAAGAGGCCATCGGCCCCTGAGGACGGCCTGCGTTGGGAGGGCTTGAAGAACAGAGGGGATTTCTGGTTCACACATTAACCGAGAGACCAAAGTTCTGTTGTTGGTTTGACGCACACGGCCGCTGATGTTGTGACACAAAAACACACAACACTGGCATTTGCTTTGCCTTAATTGACCAATGGTGAAGCCGCATAACGGCCAGCGTTTGTGGAACACCAGAAGAGCTACTTTTTCCATCCACAGCAGCAACACTCGCATTTGGAAAATAAATAAAAATTATATATATTTATTTTCTATTATGTTGCTTTAACCTTAATTCGTGGGATTACTGATGTTACTTACGTTGACTCCAGCATTATAACTAGAGCTGGGAAAGGAAATATAATATAATAAAAGGGGACGCAGCATGGGTATCGTTGTAAACATGAACAGTGGGAGCTAGCATGGCTAGCAGGTGAACAGCGCAAGACCACTAAGCCGTGAACTAAGCTAATTAGCCAGTGTTTCACCAAAACACCTTCACGATCACTAACCTCCATCACCGCTCTTACCCTCGCTTCAGCCCAAATACATTACTTCAGAGCTGACTGCAATCACTTTTAATGTTTTCATGAATGTTTCACCCTTTCATCGAAATGCAAACAAACTATCCTCAACGTTTAAAAAAGGAAATACTAATTCAGTCCAATAACGGACTAAAGTAAAGTAGTAGTGTCAGTAGGTAGAGAACTGAAGTCACTCTTTGGATAGTAGAGTGCAGGAATTAGGTTTAAGAGGCTAATTATCAACAGCAAGACGTATTCGTATAGCAGGGACCAGGTTACCGAGGCGGACAACGTTTTATAGACAGAAGCAAATGCTCGGGACTGGACTAATAAGTGGGAGCAGAGGCAAAGAGCTTAGAGTGTTGAGGAAACTGCTGAAAAGACCAACAAGAAACAGTGGCAACGACGCCGTAAGGACCATCTATACTGCACCGGATCTGCTTAAACCTATTTGATCTTTTCAAAAGACATTTCTTTGAACCAACTCTTAATAGTAGATGTTCTTAATTTCAACAAATGTGAGGAAAAAAAAAAAAAAAAAAAGAAAAAAGAAAAGTCCTCGACTTCCACGGTCACTCAGCAACATTCCCAGCTGGGTCAACAAGATGCCTCCTGCTGGTGCTCCTTTAGGATAGAAAGTGTTGGATAAACACAAGATTTCATTTACTATTTTAAAGTGCAGGCTGTCGTCTTAAAACCTTATAGTATTACATGAGAGAAGCCAGGAAACGATTTAACATATTTATCTTTTTTATTTATATATATCTTTTTGATAGACATTTCTTTGTGTCTTATATTAGGATTATCTGATAAAGAAATGGATTTACATTCTGTAAAAGGAGACGTTCTGGTCAGAAAGCTGCAGAGGAAATGGGCGAAAGGGCAATAAACCAGCCACCTACGGTGGCAAGCTACATTTATCCTCTATCGAAAGAGCAGCTTAAGAGGTCCAGTTTCAATTAATACGCTTGCTTTGCAGTCACGTTTTGTTAAAACCTTTTCTTGGGTGACAGGAGGTTACAAGAGTTAAAAGGTTTACGTGTAGCTACTCTTGAACACTTAGGCATTTATTGTAGTTATTGTGCACCAATATAGGTGAGGGGTTACAAAAAGCACGAGAGCTTCTCTGGTCTCCTCTTTCTGCTGACCCACTTTGATCTCACAAAACCTTGATAGAAGAAGCCGCTGAAGGAATATTTTATGTAATGGAGATGTTGTAGTATGCTACAGGCATAGGCTGATGCACTGCTGGCTGTACGTCACCTGAACACGACCGAACACAAAGTATACAAAAGCACCAGGGACACAGCCATTTACCCTCAGTGCTGGTACCTGCCTTCCTGTCTGGCAGATTCCAGCTCTTACACCACTCAGATAGCTAATGTATGGTTGCCTCGGTATTTAAAAATAAAAGAAATAATAAAAAAAGAGCGAGAAGTCCACTGTTGCCCGAGAAGCATTCATTAATTCCTCACCATTTGTTTCATGGTAATTAAAGAAGGGGTGACAGCCCTGAGGGAACAAAAAATGTTGAGAAAGTGAAGCAAGCGTCAAATAATATCTGAAAACTCCAAGGGGGCTTTATGGAGTTCGCAGCATGCATACTTTGTCCCCTCGCTGCAATCGCAACAGCTTAACTGTCCGATTGCTGCTCCGGAGATCAAGTAGCCAATGTGGAAAAGAAAAAAAAAAAATGATTCAGTACAAATGCGATTTTTTGATAAATTGAGCACAGACATCTCCGCATCATTGTCATTAGACTGTGACTGATCCGTCCCAGTTGCCTTGAATGTGTTGAGTCCATTACCTTGGCACTTCTGCAAAAAGTAATAACATCAAGGTGGACGACTGAATGACATATGTCCATCAAGCACTCAAGGCCACTACAGTCATCTTAAGAGGGCTACAGGTTTGTTTTGTTTTTTTAGCCGATCGCATACCGTTGTAGGTGTAATACTTTTTGTAATACTGTAAATACCGGCCCTTTGCTTCATCATTACTACAGCGCTCCCACTGTCCCGTCCCCGTGCTCAGGGATGGGACATTAACTAAACTGTACAGCCATTTGATTCGGACACAACAAATTCACATGCGGGGGTTCAAAAAAAGTTGGAAGATCGGATCTCTGCCCCGCAGAAAAGGTAAATTGTCGCAAATTGTGGCCTGTGACTGCTGGCCATTGGGCGCACAGTCACAGGCCTCGTGGGCGGGTTTAGAGAAAACAAGCTGTTGTGCAAAGTGCACGTCTCAACATGTAAACACACATTTAACGCCTCGCTATAAAAAGGAGAAATGTTCCTCCTCTCTTAGAAATACCTGGATGTTCATGTAACTGGCTACAGATGGTAGAAGGAGCCTCGTTGTCACCCGCTGTGCTTTCTGGACATGTTCAAAGTAAAAGAGCGGTCATTGCTGCATGTTTTTTCGGTAGTGCAAACACACCCTATCGTTATAAAATGTATTATAATCAACTACGAAAAAGCAACTACGTTTCATGGACTGACCACCTTCAACAACCCGAGAGCCGTTTGACCCTTGACCCTAACGTCAGTGCCATTCAGCAATTAGGAGCAGGAGATTCCACGTGTGTGCAATTAAGCTAAAACAAAAAAGTGGAGCTAGCAAGGATAATAATGCACTTTGTGAACGAGTCTTCGATGCGCACTATTTGGTTTGGAAGTTTTGCACGTCTCCCTGTAGCTAGTGTGCACGTACGACAGGACTTTCCACGCTTGCAACATTTTGTTCTCTCACCCTGACGAGAAGGACACACGCAGGGCTCCGTGCGGAAGAAAACCGGGACACGGCGTGTCTTTAAAAGTCAAATATGCTCAATGACAGCCACTCGTTCACAGCACACACACACACGCACGCACACGCTACTGAGCATCAGTACTCACGTGCTGGTGCGCAGTCGGTGTCAGGAAGTGCTGTGGATCCGCTGCGGAGTAACCGGACACCGAATGTAAACAGGCGACTGGCACGGTGTTTGTGTGGGACACAAACAGAGGCAGAGGGAAGATAAGGGAGTTTATATATATATGTGACAATCGCTCAAGCACGCGGAGCTACTTCGGGACGGCTGAGCAGACGCTGCAACGTCGCCACGCACGCTGTCACGCACACACTCACGCTCACGCTCAGTCCTGTATACGTCGTAAAGGCGCCGGGACGCTGAAGCTAAGTTGCTAACTGTCTCCGACTGTGGCTAGCAGCTGGCACCGCCTGTCTCCGTCTGCTGGATATGGAAGTCCTCTACTGCGCCTGCCTCAATACTCCCTGATAATCTCTCTCTCGCTCTCTCTCTCACACACGTAAGGTTTAATCCCTTTCTTTCTGATTTGACGTAACAAAGCCCGCCCCTTCTACTCTCAGCCAATCACAGGAGAAAGTTTGACGAGCGGCAGTATTTAAAGAGCTCGAGACCAGCAAAAGCAACCTATTAAAAAACAATTTAAGATACCTTGAAACATTTAATAACTGAATACATGTTTAATTGCATCTTTCATCTTTCCTAGTAAAACTTGGATATCCACTAGGAATATTTGACCATCAAAGATTATCATTTTAAATATTGACCCCATTTTGGTAAATGTGGGTTGGGTGTTTCGGCTTTTTGCGGCTATTCATTCATATCAATTAGATTCTTTGGGCTTGTTTTCATCTATATACTCTGAAAGAGTTGAGATCATTATTCTCATTTGATGATGATGTATCCATGAAGCCTCCTGCCAGCAGGCGATACTTTGTCGGGCTTGTAGCCTCGCAGGGGGGCGGTGTCACTTTTTGCCATGATTATATGAGTCATTTAATTTTATGTTCTAGAGCACAATATCGCAAATTAGCCTCAGAGGTCATTACAGTCTGTAAATATGTGATATTCTCTGTTCAGAAACCCTCATATCGACACAGGAAAAACTCCCCAAACAATGAAAAGGTATTTTTAAAGTTAAAGTACCTTTTTTATACCAAAACAGAGTTAAAAATAGGACAGTGAATATTGATTTACATTCCCCCGGTGGCCCGGGACCGGACTCTAAGTTAATGCTGATGTTGTTCAGTAATGTTTGGGTAAATATGATGTGTGTAAACAGCCACAGTGTCAACAGAACCGTATACAGAACTTTTGCCTTTTAGCGTTATGACGAGTCATATACAATGTCTACTGTCAAATGATAACTGACTGATGCTCACTGGCACATTTACAGTTAATTTCAAGCCTGTGCTAATGAGTCAGTCTGTAATTGAGTCCATATCAGCTCATTTAAACATGTGATATTTGGGATTTTCGGAACTTATTTTGTCAGTTATTTAGTTCTTACTTTTGGGCACAACCTACACCTGAATGACCTTGATCCTAAACATTAATCCTGGATTGTACGAGCTCCTCAACAAGACCCATGAAGTGATACGCCATGAAGAGAAAGGCAAACCACAAGAGGACAAGTGTGTAGTTAAATTTAATATTGTGGTAAAGGAAACAATAATTCTGGTGCAGGGAACAGCTGAAAAGAACAGGATTTGATCACGAGCTCTTAAAACGGTTCTTTGTGGTCCTGCTTTGTGAAGCGGACAATAAACATAGACTATACTTTCATCCCAGGAAGCATGCAGACTAAGCTGTGAGAACGTTGCCCTGAGCAAATCCTTCATTACCTCCAAATTCACTGATCCTAACCTGCAAATAAGTACTCAACCCTTCCCTCATTTAAAACGTAAATGCACCCTGTAAAACAACATTACTATTGTAATAATAATTCAGTGAATACGACAGTTTAGCCAGAATGAATTTGCACATCTTGAGGCGGCAAAATAGGAGATGCATTTTCTTTTATCCACCTTTGCATGTAGTGGCGTAATGACAGAAGTGACATGCGCAGACACAACCACACTCATGACACAGGTGCTCTGATTGTTTCTCAACTCTTGTTTGTTCACTTATCGCTTCCAGATAACAGAGTCTGTGTCAATGAAAATCCAAAGATTCAATCCAATTTGAAATCAACCAGAGTAATGACAAGGATCGGTCATGTATCTGAAATAGATAGCTTGATACAAATATCTAATCCGGGATTGCTGATCAGTTCAATGTCCTATAATTTGTTATTACTTTGACCTACTTCTTCCAATCTACTTCACACTCACACCGCTCTCACTTCTCTACTTTCTCTCTTAAATGTGATTAATAATATGCTCTCATAGTTCCTCCCACATCTGAGTGGGCTCAGGGTTACCTGAGCCAGGCCTAACTAGATTATCAAGGAGCAAAGTCTTCAGATTAGTCTTAAATGAGGTGACTGCGTCTGTCCCCTGGACTGAGAGTGTAAACTGTGCCACAAACGAGGAGCTTGATAACTGAAGGCTCTGGCTCCCATCCTACTATTTAAAACTATTAGAACCACAAGTAACCCAGCATTTAGCGCAGCATGTTACTATAAGCTCCTAAAGATAAGAGGGCACTTGACCAGCAAGTCCCTTTTAGTTGGGGAGAAGTACCTTAAATTCTATTATTGATTTAACAGGGAGCCAGTGCAGAGATGCTAAAACAGGAGTAATATGATCCCTTTTCTTAGTTCCTGTTAGTACACAAGTTGCATCATTCTCTATCACCGTTAATGGCAGAAGTAGGACCCAATCGCAGACTTTACGAACAAAATAAACTTTATTTAGGAACACGACACAGAAGAGTCAATGATTCAACACAAAGGTGGGTGGTTGGGCCATACAGAGGGATAACCTAAACACAATATGGGGTGGGAGGGAGAGGACGGTCCGGGGGACCACAGTCGAGTGACCGGGAGTTCTCTGGAGGACGATCTGGAGGACGGCCTGGCGGACGATCTGGAGGACGGCCTGGAGGACAATCTGGAGGACGATCTGGAGGACGATCTGGAAGACGATCTGGAGGACGATCTGGAGGACGGCCTGGAGGACGATCTGGAGGACGGCCTGGAGGACGATCTGGAGGACGATCTGGAGGACGATTTGGAAGACAATCTGGAGGACGATCTGGAGGACGGCCTGGAGGACGATCTGGAGGACGATCTGGAGGACGATCTGGCGGACGGTCTGGAGGACAATCTGGAGGAGGGTCTGGAGGACGATTCGGAGGACGATCTGGAGGACGGCCAGGAGGAGGGTCTGGAGGACGGCCTGGAGGAATCGGCGGTTCCGGCGTTAGACGTCGAAGGGCTGGAATCCGGGGTCAGGAGCCGAGAGATGTACCTACGATGTATCTATTTTTCCCTTTTTCTCGTGTAATAAAATCTATTTCATACTTATAACTCTTTAGTAATAATCAATGTTTACAATATTCAAAGAAAGTTAATCCGAAAATCATTTTGGTGACACCAAACATCTTGAGCCAAATTAGGAGAAGCGGAAGCAGTAAAAGTCTATTCTGGATCCAAAGTTACAGGTCAGATATGCTGCCGTTTTAAACAACAAGAGTTTGGTGTGAGTATCTTACAACAGCATCCTACATCGGACACACAAGAAGCCTGAAGTGAGCTCTGAGGCAGACTGGCACGCAGACTTCCTGTCTCCTTGTAGCATTGAAGACCGACCGATCATCTTTGAACGATGCTTACAGCAGCCACTCAAGCTCCAGAGGAAACAGTCCTCCAGAGGAAAGTTTCCTCTGGGCCGCGATGGCTTCCCACCACATAGCAACGGAGGTCCCCAATGTAGGGTTTATAGAGCGGGACTGAGTCTTTCCCACAGTCCAAACGCCCACTGTAAGCATCGTCTTAGACAAGCCAGGGCTACTACGTGGGTGACCAGCGTCTTCCCAGAATGCAGATCTATACAATTGCTGCAGGACACTCCCCAAACTGCTCAACACAGTGAGCAGCAATCTGCTGACATGAAAGGGTTACACCCGACTGAAATAGCTTGATGAGTTCAAGTTGTTTCAGATGTCTCCAGTTTGGTTACATACAGTATAAGAATATTTCCGTCATTTCAGTGAAACGCTGTAGAAACAAAGTTAAAATATGTAACATGTTGACACCTGAAAAGCTTGGAACTTCATCAGCTAATTCGCCGGATGGTAGACCCTCACGTCACCAGAAATACACCATCCCAGGGCCACTACGATGGGTGGGGAGCCCCCCAGGAAGCCTGACCACAGTCAAAGGAAAAGAAAAAAAAAACAGTGACCAGTGGCTTTGCCGCGGCCGTCCTCAGAGCTTCAGAGCTGTCCAGGTGTCCTCTGCGGAGATGTTGAAGATACTGAGGTTAATTCCTACCGGAGCCTGGCTTTATACACTGGAACACCTCAACATTCTAATGTATTAGAGTCACGGAACACACGTGTACTACAGTTCCATCCAGCATTCTATTCCATCCACAGGGGCAGATAATGTCTCTTTTTATAAATCTATATGTATATATCTATAAATATATTTACTAGTCCATAGTTCACTGGGTTGCACGGCACAGTTTTCAAAAAACTGACCTAATACATTTTGTCTATTGCTTTGCAGATTTTACAGGTTTAAAATTATACCTGCAACAAGTCAACAAAGTTAAAGGTGTTGCAGTAAAAGTTTCTTTTAACATTGTTTTGCCGTCTTTTTGCACATTTACATGCTTTAAATGCTCATATGTTGCATCCCATATACTTTTACTGATGGTACCTCTACATTAGACGTCAGTTGATCAGTATCAGACGGGATTTTTCTACCTGTATTAAAAAGTGTGCATTTTTATTAATTGCAGCTTTGGTTAAAAGTCAAATACGAGATATTTAAAATGGTTATCGTCTAACTTTCTGTGTAGTTTTCTAAACATGCACAATGATTCATACGGAGCCAAATCTGAGATGTGCGTGTCTTCACTTTAAGCGTGACAGCGTCAGCAGTTTACGGGTCAGCTTTCACTTGCTGCAGATGTGAGCTGCTGGCAAAGCAATGGTTCGACGATTCCAATCACAGGCCAACACTTAGGATTGATCTGTCCTCAGTATTTCAGTTTCTTATACAAGTGCTGTTACGTATTTACGCTCAAACAGAGTGCAATGTGTCCGTTTCACAGTTCCTCGAGTTCGGCAATTTGACTTAATGTCCCCAAAATGTTTGTACTCTTAGCACTCACCACACAGTCGGCTACTTTTCAGTGAGATAACGACAACAGTGTCGCCGGCCTCTCGTGTCTGCATAAATGGGCCAAAAGTTATCTGGAAGGAACGAGACAACGTATTGGATAAGAATGTACAGTAGCTTTCAAAGTAATGGCACACTTTGTCAACAATACTTTCCCTCATGATGGTACAAAAAGGGCTGTTCTATTAGTGTGGCATTCCTAAGCGTCATACCCTTGTTTTCAATGGCTGAAAAAGCTGGTTTTATTTACTGGTTCCATTCTTGCCTAAAGGGGAAAAAAGGAAAAGCAGCAAATGAGACAAAGGAGGGATGGGTTGTAGGGCATGAGCTCAGTGAACTGGCAATGAGCTGCTCACCATGGATAGGTGAATGGCCAGTGCTCAGTAACTTCTCTGTTTTCTCCTCCGCCCATCCCCCCCATCCCTCACCCCATTGGTCTAGTTTCCCTCTCCCCCTTTATCCACAGGCTTCTGCTTGTGGAAAATAAAGAAAAGACGTTCAGGACTGTTGCAGGCTGCCTCCTCCGACCCCCAAGCCTCTGATTTCTTCCTGGTCATTGCAAATCAGGATTTTCCGGTAAAACCATAAAAGGGAGATCGACATGGCTTACCATAGCTTTGGAAAGTTAAAACTAGTGAAACGGGATGATGTGGACCCCAAAGGAAGAAAGTGCAACAAAACTGACACTCTTTGAGGACATATGTTATCTCCACACACCTCAAGTTCTATATTTAAAAAAATCTGAAAAAAGGTGTCAAACTGAGAAAAGAGGGCAGAAAACACAGATGCATAAAATATGTGCTTGCTCAAACGTTTAGTTTAAAAAATGATGCCTTCAATGTAGTGGCGGCTGGTGGAAAATGTTTCAGGGCAATTAAATTCATTTCAGCAAACATCCCAGGTTAATTTAATGCAAATCAATAAAAGCAGCAAATAACACTTTGACAATTGTATTTTTGTCATCCTAACAGGCAATTCATTATTATATAATATATATATATTACTTTAAATAATGTTCAGTATGATATAATATATACTGATATATAATCAGTTGTCTCAAACAACCATGTTGCCCCTTGGCTCAGTCTATATCAGGACGCTGATTGGCTAAATTGAATGTCACACATTTGTTTATTTAATCAGCAATTGGCTAAAGTGCTTCTTAGACCCGCCTTCTGTGGGCATTATTGAGATGAAGGATGTGCGTTTGACAGGCAGGGACGTGCAGGAAAAGCATATAGTTTGTGCAGCCTTTTCTATTTTTTGGGGGGTCATGGAGGCTCGCTCCATTGACCTCTATTTGCCAGCCGCCACTGTGACATGGGGCACGTTGTATAACCGAAACAAAGGGACATACTTACTATACACACACCCATACAAACACTGTTATCGCAGTGGCAGTAACACCCATAAAGATATCATGCCAACGGATATACACCGCCTTCAGAAATGCACCCGAGCCAGTCAATGGACAAATAAGACCGACGAATAAGTACAGGTAACACAGAAAACACCCGGGAAATTGTTGACAGCCAAGTCTACCCACACACTGACACAATGCCACATCTTGTGGAGCGCAGCCACAAAAACACACACAGTCACAGTAGTTAACCATCAACTGGTGAATCCTGGGCACACGAGTACACAGACAGCTGAGGAGAGGAGATGGTCTACCAAAGTCAATAATAGCCCATTATGGTCTTATATCAAAAGCTTTCAACCAGATGTGTGTTGAAATTGTTAACTAGATGAAGGTGTGTGTGTGTGTGTGTGTGTGTGTGTGTGTGTGTGTGTGTGTGTGTGTGTGTGTGTGTGTGTGTGTGTGTGTGTGTGTGTTTGTGAATTTGTGTATGAATTTGGCTCATCCTCAATTCTCCAAAGGGCCGTATGGCAGTTAAAAGGAAGAGTTCCATGTTTTGGAAAATGCACTTTCACCTTCATCACAAAAGACCTTTTCTCATGTTTCTTGAGTTGTTTGCGTTTGCTTGAGATAATGATTTTCTTATATGTCTTGAATTTTTGCATACAGAGATTTGGACAGGAATCCCAAATTTTATAAAATGGTATTTAGCAGTTGCAAAAGCTTAGTTAACAGATCTTAGGAAAAAGACTGGAGCTGTACAAAAAATGGTCATGTTTTATGTTGTTTGTTTAATCCATGCTGTTGTGATTTTACTGAATTAACACAAAGTACCATGAGGTCACAGAATTTATTCAAATATCAAAAGCATAAAAAACATTGAAATATGTAACATATCTAAATACACCATTTACATCAAAACAAACAAAATGTGACGATGTTTCTTTGAAGTAAATGAAAGAGTACTGAAGTTTTAGTTTTAATCTAGCTGAATAAAAATCCTTTGGTGAGGCTCGGTGGTGGTGATGCCTTTGAGAGAGTTGAGCACTACTGCCAGTTCATTTGCTCTTTCCCGCCTGCTGTCCCAGCTCCAACGGTGTCTTTCCCTTCTGTGTTGCAGTAGAAGCTAGTGGGGTCGGGGCCACGTCCATACGAGCCCCATGATTGGTGGAGAGGTAAGACAGAGGTGGGCTCTCTTGGGTTCGAGTCAACGCCGTCGACGTTGGCGATCACACGAGAGTTTGACGGAGCGGCGTTGCTGTATGTTACCACGGCGATGGGATCCTGGACACTGCCGTTGCTGGGAGTGATGCCGTTGCTATTGGTTACGAGGCTGAGGACATTGTCTGCGTTTGGGTTGTTGCCGGGAGAGGGAAAGGTCAGAGCGGCCGCCTGGGGCGAGAGCAGGTTACCGCCTGGGGAGGGCAAGAGGTTGTTGGGGTGACCCAGAGCCAGACGCTGGGTGAGGAGCTGGTGCTGCAGCCGCCGGTCGGTCCAATCCTCCTGAGGCTGACGGTGGATCTTCATGTGAGCGTTACGGGACTTGATTTTATAGAACATTCTGGAGCAAGGAGAGAGAAGAATAGGTCGGGTTTCAGCGTGAAAATCGAAAACTATCTGCTAGCCTGCTCTTGAAGCCAAACGCCAGGCGCTTTGTCATAGTTTGTTCTACTCACTTGCCACACAGCTTGCACGGGAAGAAGCTGGCCACAGGAAGCGCCTCCTCCAGGCCAAACTGTTTGTGCGCTGTCTGACGGATAGGCGTCATCTACGAGGAACAGGAATAACTCTTAGCAACAGCGGTGCTGAGCTGCATTCCACACCGGATAGACTTTTCAAACTTTTAACTCAATACACAGGACTCCAAATACACCTACAGCAGATTATCCTGTTTTACTTGTTTCTAATCTATCAACCTTATTAGTCAGAGATCTCGATGCGTAGTACAGCGGTGCCCAATGGGAATAGTCAAATAACGGCAGGGCAACAACAGGAAAAAACAATGATAGACAAACATTAGGGACGTCAGTGGGGAACCAGACTTTCTGGATCTTGACAAGATGCAAACACATTACGACACTGGTGCTTCTTACATTTTTCTGCTGCTCCAACAGTTTTTCTCTGTTCTCCTCCTCCTTCTGTTTCATCAACTTGTCCTGCAGCTTTTTGCTCAGGTAGTAAAATTCCACACACTGGCACACGGTCTTAGTCCTCACCTGCAACATGCACACAGACACGGTGAATACATGGCTCTCAAAAAAACACCTGACCGTGCAAATACATGACAGAATATTTCTGAAAACATAATCAATCTACAATGTACCGTTGCAACTAATACACGTTAATCTGACATTTTCTGTCCCATGTGTTGGTATTTGACAGTTGTCAGAACTATCATTATTAGTATATTATTAGTGTACCATTTTCTGTATGCGTGAAAAGTCTTTTCCATAAGTTCCTAGAGTTGCAGTGAAGAGACTCTTTTCACCGTCCGTCCAAAAGTCACTACCTACAGAGAAAATAAAGAGGGAGGGGTTAAGGGAAGGGTTGATCAATGCAGACAAACGTCATTCGGGGAGTAAATAGCTGGGACCCAAGACATCCAGAGCGTTGTTACACCGTCGTCTGAGGGCCAAAGGCCTTCGACGGTACCCCTGTCTACCGGAGTACACCCACCTACAGAGTGAACACTGTGTGCAGAACAATGTCCGCTCTGTACTCTACGTGGTTCTTGAATGCAGCAAAGAAACAAAAAGAGAGAGAGAGAGAGTGGATTTTGCATGTGACTAAAGTGGCACGAGGCTTGAGCTTCTACAAAGGCGACTATTGCACACAAAGAGCTTTGGTAATGCGAGCTTTACTCCTGTGCGGACTTCCATTACTTTGAGATTAAAACAACTGTTGGCTGTTGCAGAGACGCTACTCTGCCTTCAATGTAAATAAATTTAAGCTCTACTACTTTTCCTTACTATTACTTAGAAAACCCCAAAGTTAAGTGTAAGGCCAAAGGTGAAAGGTTACCAGAGTAGTGGTAGTCTCCCGTTGGCGAGGGCTGTGAGAACAGCAGCATGTCAAGTGTGGCCTGAGCAGGAGAGAGGGACGGGGGAGGGACAGAACAGACAGGTGAGGCATGCAATGGCTCCGAAGAGAACGAACTGGATATGGATGAGTGAGAAAGAAATGCACGTGGAAAGAAATGACAGGAGGACGGGTCAGGATGGATGGAGGAACGATGAAAGTGATCCAATGAGTGCGTGTTAGAATGATAAGATGCAAGAAAGACAGGGCTATGATTCCCCTCTACACACTTTACCATTGTGTTTCCCTGACAGTGGTGCAGACAGTGCATAGTCAGCTCTGAGTTGCTGCCCCCTCCTGGTACACAGCTGGAACTACACATGGACAGCAGCAGCTCCACTGCGGACGCGCACACACAACATCAGCATTTTCATCACGTTAGCATAACAGACAATTTTTTGTTAATATTTTCAGGGGTTTGTCTTCCATCTTGGTCCGATTATAAACCTCTCTATCATACACTCAATGAAAGGTACACAATATGAGATTCATCTTCTCAGCAACTATTGTACTGTTGAAGAACGGAGATTCGGTGTAATTAATACCCTAAAGCTGGTCCATTTAAAAAATGTCAGTTTGTAAATATACGTTTTGCCGTGACAGTTACCTTGGTCTTGTAAGTGGGTTGTCTCCTCCAGCTTGTCCCACGGTTTCCAAAGCAACTGTTCCAGGGGAGATTTCTCCTCTGGTGACAACACTCTAAACCCTTCCGCATCTACAATGCACCGAGGAAGCTCTGCCTGGAAATTATGACCCACATTGACATACCTGAGGAGAAGGACAGATGAGGGTAAGAAAGGTAACAAACGGTAAGCTTCACTCTTCACCCCGTTTTTGAGACGCACTGCTAACCGATGCCCAGGCGATAAAGCATCACGACAAAGCGAACGCTGCTTCAACATTTTACTCACGGTGACACGACACATCCGTCTTCCTCTGCGCCGCATGTGGTTTTGTCCTCTCTGTGGTTGAGAGACAATACGGAGGAGTAGAGACCCGTCCCCCTACGAAGGGGATTGAGGAGCGGTCGAGGAGTGTAGCGACCTCTCTTCTGACCTTTGGCGGAGTGAAGGATACTGGGGAATGTAAGTCCAGTGTAGATTTGAGAAGTTTGCTGCTGTGAGAGAACAAAATGTTGTACAAAAACATTAAACATTTAAAAAATACAAACGCAGACTGTGGTTTTAGAAGCAAAAATGCAGTTGCTTATGGACAAGCGTCTACAGGTGTACTCATATCCCCAAATGTCAAACAGGTTCTTTAAAGTACTTTCAGACATTACTTCACCTGTGACTGACTCACAGTGGCATGGTACTTTACATTCTTGGTCACAATGTACGGGGCTGTCTTTTCTGTCGTCTCATAACGTTGGCCGGAGAGGTGAGTCTGAAGAGACGGAAGATGGAAGGATGGATGAAGGGCTGGAGAGCTGGAGGGACAGAGGGCTGTGGATGGATGGAGAGATGAATGATGGGATGCGGAAGAGAGGAATGCTGCTTCTGGAGACTGAAGGTGGGAGGCTGGAAAAATGAGAAGGGGAAGAACAAAGACCAGTGGAAGTAAATGCTCATGATGCTGCTCGATCATCATAAGTCTGTCAGACTAAACAAGACCAAAACATCACTGTTATCTGTGCAGACAGGGAAGAAGTACACCGGACATGGACACCTGCAGAATCATTTAAATTTGGAAGCACTAATCAATTCTCGTGAGAACCCACATGTGAACTTAAAGCACATATACCGAAATTCTGGACCGTATGTTGGCTGTCACATGTGAATGTGTCATTAATCGCGTGGTACCTCTGTTACAAAATGTGACAAGCAAGATTGTGTTGGTAACATACGGAAAATGGCAAGTGTGTTGCTCACCTACGAAAAACCCCAGCTGTCTCGTAAACGAATATGTGGGTTTAAACCTGGGTTTCTTTTTGTCAAAGGGGGTGGTTAAGTTAATTTCAGGTATTTTCCTTTTTTTCAAAACTTGATGATCAAATGATTCGATTTCATGGCCCGTATCATATATGGGGTTAAAAAAATACTCATCAGCCCTAACCTGGGACATTGCCATAGTCACTGCCGTGAGAAGGTCTCGGGTCTCCTGGAGACTGTGGGAAGCCGAGGGTCTGCTGTGGAAACTTCCATATCATCCCCGCGGGACGGACAGGGGGGAAAGACTGAAGGTGAGGAGCGAAAAACTGCAGCGATTGACCCCCCTGGGACACTGAATGTCCGCTGCCCCCAAATTGAACGGGAGAGTCCATTTTGGAGGGCGAGTGGGAATGAGGAGATAGAGGTGTGGGAGGAGGACTGAGAACTGAAGACATGATGTGAGATGATGTGGGTGGGGACGGGTAGGACAGGAGAGAGGGGTGCGTGGGTGGGGAGGAGGAGGAGGAGGGAGGCAGACGGGTGTCCGAATCGAAAGCGCAGCTGTGTCCCGACTTCACCGATCCAGGGCTTTCGACCCTCCCCGTGCCGAAGTCCCACACCTGTCCTGAAGAGTCTCCGCCAGGAATCATCGGAAACCTTCTTCTCCGCTGAGAGAGGAAAGCCTCGGAGAAGGAGTCCAGTTTCTGAATGTACGTCACACCGCTGACCGCGAGGGGGCCCACGGGGTCCGCGGCTCCTCTCCACCGGCCCTCTCCGGGGTGACTCGAAAGAGAGGCGCCAAACCAGGGACCATCACCCTCCGCTGGTTGAAGCTGATCCTCACCCGAGCCACAGCTGGAGCCGTAGTCTTCTTCTCTCCCCAAATAATTATCACTCAACCGTGAAAAATCAACGCTGTTGCTGAAGCTCCCCCATGGAGTGGTTTGCTTAGTGAAGTGGTTGGCGTTGGCCTCCCTGTCGTAAACTGTATCGCCTTTCGCTTCGCAGCTAACTTGGGTACAATTATTGTAGTCCGCTCTGAGTTTGCGCCGGACTGCCTCCTCACTGCCGCAATTCACGCTGTAAAAACCGTCATTTGCTTTACCGAAGCCATCCCCTCTTCTATAAAAGGTGCCTTCGGCGCTTTCACAATTCTCCCCGTCCTCCCAGACGTCTTCTTTTCTGCCGTCGCCGTACCAAGTATCCGAAAAATGGCCGCCTAACCCGCTTCCTCCGTCAAGATGGCCACCCAAGTTAGCACCTCCGTCCAAGCCGCTACCGCTCGTGGTCAGGAAGCCTCTTTCCCCCCCGCTGCTCCCCTTCCTTCCCTCGGAGGAGGTAATTGATGTTGGGAAGGAGTTTGTGGGGTCTTCCCCTCTACTTCCGTATTGCTCCTGAGGGTCCAGGGAAGGCTGACAGGACGGGTACCCCAATTCGGGGCTTTGAAGGCCGGGCAGGGTGAGGTGAAAGGATGGGCGGTGGCGATGGTGGTGGAGGTTGGTGAAGGATTGGGTGGAGGAAGGGTCGTCCATGATGGCTCGCTCGTTGTAGCTAAAGGGCCTACGTGAGACGGAAAGAAGCACAGTGTAATTATAAAGTTCCTAACTGGGTCACAGGATAAGTGCAATGCTCGCATGTTAGATCCTCTGAGCACCTTTACTCAGGTAATTTCTGTGCAACACCATCTTTTACCGGCTGTGGTTGTGAAGTAGTTAATAAATGCAGAATGGGTCCGCTAACAATTTTTTCTGCCTTCTGAAAAAAAGGTGACAGCGTCCCCCCCGAATGGTTTCCACAACTGTGGTATTTAGACAGACCAATGCCCCCTACAGAGCAATGCTCTCCTTTTGAGCGAGACCCTTAAGTATCACATCTCAACGGGTTCATATAGCGACCGGATTCAAACACCAGGTTGAAGTAACGAGAGTTAGCGAAAATTGCCTTTTAATAAAGACTTTGTATGGAGCTCTGCGGATTTTGAAAAGGACATTACCAACTTTCTATTACAAACGATTCCGATATGCCTTTACCTGAAACCAGCATTGAAGTCATCACAGGCTGCAAGTTCAAAGTAATGGCGCCTTTTTAAAACCCGAACCGCTCTCCGACCAGCAGCTTTTAGCGTGTGCATACCCGTCGAGCGTCCTTACAGCGCCTGCCTCGACTGATGCCCTCTGATGACTCGGTAGGTCACCAGATCACACCGATTAAAACGCACATTAGTTTGCTCGAAAATCACTTGAAGTGCGAACTTGTGCGTTGGCTTTTTTTCTTTCTCCCTATTGAAACCACATGCTCTAGATAGGACGGTGACTGAGTCAGAAAGCGAAAGAACGAAAGAAGACGAAATGAAGAGACAAACACACTGTACACGTTCAGAGGTTGTTGGTTTTTTTACCAGTCCATGGCGCTTAAATTCCTTTTCACATTTGTTCCTCCTCTGTTGTTTATGGTTTCTCGTCCTGGTCCTTCTTCGGATTGTCCTCATGGTGTTCTCCTACTTCTTTTTTGCTTTGTCTACAGTGTTTGTTTAATTATTTCCCCCTTCAGATTGTCAAACCCGTAGCTTGTCCTTTTATCTTCTTTGACAGCACACACCCCCCACACACACACACATACTCACACAGCCTGTGGTATTACTTAAAACAAAATGGACACACAAGCACACATAAACTGTGTTTCTCACACACACACACACGCACACACACTGACTGAGTTTCTCATAAGCCCTTGCAGGTGTCAGAGGGGACCAGCGAGTAGTGATGTTACCTCTCTGCCTTTTCGTCGTCGGGGTAACCACATCCTGAGGAAACAAACGCTGACGGATCTCCCTCCTTTCAGCTATCTTTATCTCTCTGCCCCCCTCCTCCATCTCTCTTTCCGTCTCTCTGCCGTCCTTGTCGGCTTCTCTGTGTTCTCTCTCTCTCTCTCTCTCTCTCTCTCTCTCTCTCTCTCTCTCTTCACGCACCCAGCTTTGCTCTTTCTGTCTCTCTTGTTATTTCTTCCTCTTGTGTCCCTGGCTGAATCTCTCTGCAGTCTTTGTGCACGCTTGACTCTTTGGTGTAATAATAAGTCCTCTTCTAGTGTCTTTGTTCATGTAGTTTATTTTTTAAAGGTGTGTTTGCTGATGTTGAGTTACTGAACATACTAACAATTTCACAAAAAGACCAAATCAATGTACTTTCTGGACGAGCATTGCAATTTTTTTCATAGGCTGTATGCATACACAGAATGAAGCTAGTCAAGCTGTGTTGAATGAGTGAACGCACATGTCCTTGTGTGACTAAAGTACATTTTGCATGTGTGTGTGTGTGTGTGTGTGTGTGTGTGTGTGTGTGTGTGTGTGTGTGTGTGTGTGTGTGTTTGTGTGTGTGTGCAGAAGCGGTAATGTCGATGTTTACCCGATCAAGATTCTCCGGCTGAGTCAGCTGACAGGAAATGAGCGAGAATGAAACAGGAAGGGAAACGGCGACAAGCGATGAGGTTCAGGGAACCCTCTAATCACCCTGCAGCCCCCCCCACCCCTCTCTCTCCCACACACACACACACATATACACACAGGATACACAACTTTAACGTGCATGAAGTTTACTACCTTTGTTACATCATGTAAATCATAAAAACGTCCCACTCAAACGCACACCCACAACACGACCGCCTGCAGGTCAACAATTCTTTGAACAAATTCTGCTACACACAACAACACACAACCCCCCCCCCCCCCCGCACAGAAGACAGGACAGGGTGTAATCAATCAGTTTGAATAACATTTGTTGTAATAATTTAACGGGAAAAAAAAAATTAATTACTATATAATTACTAATACTGTCTGATGGAAAAAAAGGAATCGGACATGAATCAACGCCAGAGTTATTACTTTGTAATTTTTGGACGCTAAACAATTTATTTCATGAGCATCTTAATCTTGAAGATTACCTGCCAAATTCTTGTTACCGGATCAGTAAAATGTAATTGCAAAGCGGTACAAAGTACAATATTTCCCTCTGAAATGTAGCGGATTAAGTCTACAATATTGTTTACATATATTGCTTTATGATATTATTTTAAATGCTGCGGTCTATTTTAAAGTGTTTAATGTCAAAACACAAATAAAAGAACGACACAAGGATTTGTCTGATCACTTTCCAAATCTAAAAACCCTTGAATGACAGCTTAGATCATTGCACCACGCGTGAATTCAGGGAAGTTTTCCTGATAACGGATCACATCTCCTGTTCTAATGACAAGCCAACACTTTGATGGTCAACTTGCCAGCAGATTGCTGTCCTTTCGTTCGATCAAACATGCATCACAAGATGGTTTTCTTCTCATAAAATCAAACACTGCGTTTGCAAGACACACAAATGCGCATTTGTAAAGGCTGTGTGAATGCTCGCATACTACTTTTGTGGAACAAACCAGTTTGCATATTAAAAAAGTATCCATTCCTTGAACCCGTAGGCCTATTGGTAAGAAATCAACAAAAAGACGTTAAAAGTAGAGCATTTAATCGGTTGTATTTATGGTCAAACGAAGGTTCCTCACCTTCCAGAGAGCGTGCACAGGGGAAAGGAGAAGACGTGACTATGTGTCGGTGTATTGGTGTGAGTCTATGTGTGTAGGAGATCATGGTAATGCTGAGGTCACTAACACAGTGTAACTACGTCTCATAGCTGGAAACCTCAGCATTAACATAGATGGGAGACAATAATGTTATACATACACAACCCGTCTACTCCAGTAACCTCAACCTTAGCATATGTCATACTGTTGGCACATGGCTGATTGATTAATGCGCGCACTGTTAACCTTACAGCATTACATTACACCTCTATTTTAAAGAGGTATTTTAAATCTAGAGGATCCATGGTAAATGTAAGGAATTTCAGCTATTGAAAGACCTATTTCCAACATCAATATAATAAACACGGTCAACGTCAAGACAACTTACTCCATATTTTCTATCCTCACACTTGCAGCCGTACAATATGCAACTTTCTGACGATCGCGAGGGAGATTCTGCCGCACCGGAATTTGCCCCAAAATGTGTCAGATTCCTAAGAGTGAAAGTAATTAACAGTACCTGCAGGACTCTTTCCACAATGTTCGTGCTCAACAAAATTCCAACTTTTATGTGGGCTTTCATTTTTGTCTTTTGCTCAATATTTGATTGATTAAGTCAGTAGGGTAGGAAAAAACGTCCCAAAAACCATGCAACTGGATTAGAAGAAATTAAAAACCTCTTCAACTGCCTTCTGACTTCTGCACCCAATCAGAGGTACAGTTTAGGATTCAAAAGTCGACGGCTTCTTTTACTTTTTTGTAAAATTTGAAAAAATTTAAAACAACACATCTAACCGTTTCTCTACCAGTAATTCAGAAATGCCATGCAAAACGTTGCGTAGGCATTTGCCCCATGCGTGTTTGTACGCCCACTTAGCCTTGAGAAAACGGGGCAAATCAAGAAATGTGTGAATGAAAGGATGCGAGAGAATGGGAGGGGAGCGTGGAGGAGGGTGTACGGGGGAGACGCTTCTCTGGTTTTCTCTCAAATTCACCGTAAAAAGCTGCGGGAGCGGAGGAGGGGGAACGACAAAAGCGTTTCTGGACTTTTTATTTTTACTTTCTCCGAGATGCCTCTCTGTGAGTCTTTCAGTCACCTGAAAAAGGAAGTGCCGAGTGGCGGGAAGAAAGTAACCGAATGGATGAGGGACAAATTAAACCGGCACACGATGTGAATCACTGCGTATCGCAAAAGACAAAGAAATAGGAACTTGGAGCTAATAGATTTACCTCAAATACACCGTACTTGTGTCTCAAAATGATCCAAATTTGTTCAAAAGCATTCATGAAAAGTGTGTTCAGGAGAAACGTGGGTCAGACAGTGTATTAAAATAACAGCCAAGCCAAAAGAAAGTTTCTTTTCAAACATTCACTGAGTTTATGTACATGCAGAAGGACATCTCATTCTGTGTCTGATATTTTGGGGGTAATTTAGCAATAGCCTTTCAGTCGTGAATGCATACAAAGATGAGCAAAGACGCCCCGAGTGCATGAATAGCAGCAGGAGAGTACAGCTCTATTGATCTTTGATCTGTTAGATAGAAGGAGGTTGAAAATAATTGGTGCCTTTTAACAAAAGAGTCGAAGCGGGCCTGAAAATTCCACGACAGCTCGACATGCTTTTGCATTTAAAACAAGATCACAGGCCAAAAGGTGTTCAGACAGGCCGCCGTGCGCACGAGTGACTGCAATGCCACACATTTTAAAGTAAATCAACAGCCTCCAGCAAAGGAGGCCCGCCTGAAAGCATTTCTGAATAACCAACATAATGATGGAATACCAATATACTTTTTATTGCATCCACGGTAGATGTTAAGGGGCATTCTAATGTCAGTTTTGACATGATGGACTTTGAGCTCAGTGCAAAAGAGAACTTAAAAGAAACTGAAAAATCAAAACGGTCCGAAGCCGTTTCCTCAGATGACCCGTGGGTTATCGTGCTGCGTTTAAGGTGGCAAAAAAATGAAAACACAATCTTATTCAAGAGGAAATTCATATTTTCTGCAGCATGTCGTTATGATCATAGATATGAGACAAATAAAAGGCAACTTTATAACCACGTCTATTTGCTTTACGTTTGTAATCTGATCACACGCACGCTGCTCCTACGGTTATACTGGTACTGTAGTACAGTAGTACAGTGATTCCATGTCTTCTCTTATATTTGCTCCAAATATGGATGAAAATAACAACAATTGCTCTTCACGATTGCAAAGAGCAGAATTTCAAATACATTAATCAACTCAGATTAAGATCAGAAAGGTACATTTATGGTAAACTGAAAGAAGAAACTGATGATACAGTTAAAGGGTTTCGTCCTTCTCTTGGATTTTCATGTGCAGAATGTCATCCACTAAAATTATAATTTACTGTCGAAACTTATTTCTGAAACACGTTTTGTCTTTTGGGTTGTGATGTTTCAACTAAAAATGATTTAATTATATTTTCACAAACCATATCACCGTTCCCAGAGAAACAAGCATTGTATTCATTCGGACGTATGCGATTACAGGTATATTCATCCCACACGTGTCTGAGTTCACCATTAGGATCATTGAGGTTTTTTTATTTCTAATGTTAAAAGACAGCAACACAAAACCTGCAGAAGAACGTTTTTATGCATTATTCTATAACCTGCAGTGGGCCGACTCGCTTAAAGATCTTCGGAAACAGGCGATCACACCCTTAAGCCAAAGATAACATATTGTAAAATATTTATTCTTTTAAAGATAAAAGATCTACTTTTTCATTAGAATTTTTTATTATCATGATTTATATTATTATTAATTATTTAGGTAATCCAATCAAGATACTAATAATATTATTTACCATTTATTTAAATAAATATGTATTTATTTGATATTAACAACTCGTCCTTCTCCTCGGACCAATCTACTGACTTATTTTGTCATAGTTTTTTTATATATAGTTTATTTTTACATTAGTTTTGCATATGACACTTTCATACAGATCTAATACTCCCACTCACAGAAGCAACTATAAATCTGTCCCCACGTTCAAACTACAATCTTTTTATGCCTGTTTATGTCACACTGACATTTACTCTATACAAGTTTACAATAAAATAAACTAAATATGTAAAAGTAATGTAAACGTTTTGCAGGGCGCCATTTCTCTCTTCATTTCATTGATGCAACAGTATTGACAAGCCCATAATCGGTGTATATCGGTGTATCGGT